AAGTCAAAAAGAAATAGCAAAACCAAACATGAAATAGGATCAGACTAAAGTCAAATAAATGTTATAGGATTTGTATGGGGTGGTTTTTTTTGTTGTTTTTTAATATAATTTTTTAGTATAAAATTTTTAATATTTATATTTAAAATTTATTTTGAAAAACAGTAAAAAAATCATCCCAAACAAAATCTAAATAAGAGAAAAATAAAACGGTAGGGAGCATTGAATCAAATAAGACCTCTTGTCCTTCAGTATAATTGACAACAATCAGAAGCGTAGCTAGATGATTTTACTAAGCTGGGTTGGCAAAAGCAGCATGTCTGTAGAAAAACTAGAAAAATTGAGCTTTAGGTTTCATTTGGAATAGTTTTTAGGCACTTTTTTTGTTATTTTTAATAAATTTTTGTACTAAAAAATAAGTACATAAAATAATTAAAAAAAAATCTATCCCAAATAAAATCTTAAAATATATTCTTCTAAGTATAATTTGCACTTGAAGTCAACTACCAATAACATAATTAAATATATGCAATAATCCATAGTGTAATTTTTATGAAAAATATATTAAAGTTTTATTTATGACGATTTTCTTATTGCCTTCTAAAATAGCTTTTTAATACAAATTTTTAATTTAAAAATTTTTTGTCATAAAAAATTGTTTTAAAAAGCATGAGAAAACCGTCCCAAATGAAACCTAAGACTTGATTTGAGACTACTTTCTTACTGCTTTCAAAAGAAAATTTTTAGTTTAAAATTTAGTTGACCTAAACATTTTTGTACAAAAAAATCATTTTAAAAATCAGTAAGAAAGCTATCCTAAATGAAACCTAAGCAACACAAGAAATGAGGTGATGATCCATCTAAGAGATAACAAAGATGACTGGTGAAGCATTATTTATATATAAAAGAGTAGTTTACTTCACACATTTTGCTAAATCAAATTTTTTTTTTTAAGTCTAATAACTTTCTAATAGGTCAAGCATAGCTCTTATCCTGATGAGAGGTTTTTCTTCTTATGATATCATTTTATTGACTAAGTTATCTTTCTAGATTTGAGATCCCTATGCCTCACACTGAAAGAAAAGTCTTTTTAAACATCAGTAGCTGTGCAAGGCATGAAAAATCTATTTCCGTTGAATATCCAACAACTCACTGACATCTGGACAAGAACTTGCCAAAAAAGATGACATCAACATCATCTATCATTTTAATAACAAGACAAGCAAGTCATAAAGACAATGGTCTTACTAATAAGAGGGATCATTGGAAATATGAATTTTATGTTAATTAAA